GCGTTTCCTCCGAGCACTTGGGCAGAGCCCGGCGGCGGAGTATCTCCCCCGTACCCTAAGCTACGCAAAAAATGACCCTCTGCCCGATGAATGCTGCTGTTAATTCCTTGACGAGGCTTGACGCATCCATCCGAGCCAGAATTCAGCTTTTCAGACGTCATCGGAGCGTGAATTCGCTGTCCCACGGAGGGAACCGCACGTTCCACACGCGAAAAACGTACTCGTAATCCATGGTCGACTCTTGGTGCTGATCTGGCTCGGCGTCTGCCCGAATCGTAGGCTTCGGCAGATACCCTCGTAGAGGTTTTTCCCAGGTTGCGATTTTTTGAGCCGGGGCGCTTTCTTCCCAGAATCTTCTTCCCCGGTCGGCTCCGCAACCGAATTCATCGTGTCGGTTCCCGGACTAAGACGATGGTCACCGGCAGGCGGAAAATTTCGAACAATCTCGTAAGCCGCCTCTCACCATACCTCGACGAAGCGGTGCTAACCGATTGTGCGGCTCCAACGCAGTCGGCGAGCCGACAACAAGAGGGCTGACAGCCGAGCATGCATTCACATCCGCTTCCGGTTTCACATCCAATTAGGAGTTTGGTTCTTCACTCCTCGCTCGTTCTTCTTTCAGGAAGCTTTTAGAGTTTGTGGCTTCCGATTTGAGCCGAGAAACGCGTGTTCAGCGCACCAAGTGAAGAAAACAAAGCGATGTCCTCGAGGAGTGAGAGAACCCGCGAGGCTCTTCGTTTGTCCCGTGACGAGTCCATTCCCCATCTCCCTCAACACCAGGCTGATCTCTGGCAGCGCGAGGACACACACACGTACCTGTATGCACGTCCATCGTAGGAACCGATGCCGTGTTTTCCTTTTCCGCAGAAAAGCAGTCGACGCGTGATTCCTGAGAAATCCGCAAAAAATCACGAGTCAGCTCTCAATCTGTCCCGGGGTTATTTTCGTTGCTGCCAGAATTACCAGCGTTTGGTGGGCGTATTGCAATAACTGGTCGATGGACCGTGGTGGAGATGGCAGGAGGAAGCCCCGTGCGACCAGTTAGTCAACCGAGCTAGCTGTTGAGAAGTTGAAACTTCGCTTTTAGAGCTGCGCCCAGCCGAACTCGGTGCTGCTGCTGGTCGTGGAATGAGACTGTCTCATTTTAATATTCAAATGACCCTTCGCTGCATTCAGTGTGGTGGCCGCGGCGGCGACAGTTTCGACGGCGCGGCGGTGACTTGCGGCGGCTCATTCGGACCGTTAGCCGCTGCTGTTCTCAGCAGGCTCGCCCAGTCAACCGAGCAGTCAGCCAGTTAGCCCGCTCTGGGATAATTACTGCGAAAGAGAGAAGCATTAATAATTCTCCCCCAAGCTTTCTTCGCCTTTCGAGGTCCCGATCTTGTTTAGCAACGCGATGAGGCTGTTTGTTTCCAGAGAGGAGCTCGGCTAATTCCCGATAAATGACCCACGACACTCCGTTGAGCCGATTGATCCAAGCACATAAGTTCTTCAAATAGGCAGGCAATGGATTGGCGCCGACTTCTCTCTTGTATCGACATGGGATGCTTGTCTTGTTCTTTTTAGTCAATCATCAGGAAACCTAGAAAACATGCCTCCCACATTCAGACTTTCGGGCTAATGACGTTTTATTCTGCAAATCTATAAAGCTCTGATGCGAACCCCTGGAGGTTCTGGCGCGTGCTCACAATATACAGTGCGTTCGGGGCCGAGAATCGATCGATTTAGTCGTGATCTGTTCTTCTGGATTGCGATAATAATAATTTATCCTTCATCGTTGGCTTAATTTCGTTCGATTCACCAGTACGCTGGAACGACTTTGGTCTTTCTGTAAGTCACAACAGGCTCCTTGACGTAAGAAACAGTTTTGACCGGCCGCACACGGTAGCTGACCACAGGTTCTTTGACGTACTTCACAGTGACCACTGGTTTCTTCACATATGAAACCTCCTTATGTACTTTATAGTGGGGCTTCGCGTGAGAAAGATGTACTGGAGGCCATCCCGAGGGAAAGGTCGACGGATGCGATGAATAAACGCGGGAGCTGCCGTGATCGCTGAAGTAGCGAACGGGATTGTAATAGTTGCGGTACAGATGAGCCGGCGCATACGCCGTCGACTTATGAAGATAAGTGGCGACAGAAGACGCCAGGAGCGCCGCGAGTGCCAAAATCTGCGAAAGAGAAACTACATTAGTTCCGTTCTGAGTCAGTGCCGATTTCACGGCCGCCATGAAAGCATGAAACTTCGCTATTGGCAGTATTTTTAAACTATTTAGGGATTGAAAGGAATGAGCACGAATCAGTTTTAAAGACCCCGAAGTCATCCGAGCGTTCGCTCAGAAAATAATAAAGTCCATCGAAAAAGAAGCAATCATGGTTCGGTCTGGCCCGGATGATATGAAGAGAAATCATAATTTTTCCATTATTCGTATCGCTCCGGGATGGGTCACGTGTTCCGCCGACCTCTAACGGTATCTCTCACTCAGACCGGTTAGATATCCGTCCGAAGCCACTAAAAACCGTCGGCTCCGAGCATCGGGTCGGGCTTACGATCCACTGGACTGGAAAATTCAGTTTCCGTAACTTCTGTTTCAGGATCGAAAAAAGCCCCGGAACTCTTTTTTGATAATCAAAAGCGGCGAAGATTCAAGGTTAGGCTATTTCCAGCCATAGCCATTCGATCCCACTGTCGGGCTCACACGATGCGTTCTCACAGATTGAAGTCAGGATACGGAACAGCCAATTTGCCACAAATCTGACAGTGGTGCACAACACGTTTTTTTTGCGCGCTATCGCATCTGCCCGTCCTCGATAGCTGATTCCGCGCGTTTTCATGCTTGACACCAAATAATCGCCGTTCCCAAGAGAAAAGCGATGCAAGGCTATTCATTGACTCTCTTGAAAATCTTCAGAAGAGATTCATCCGGGGGATAGTTTGAATCACTGACTGGGACCTGGGCGGGAGTCTATTGTCTCTTTGCTCGAGCAGATGAGTTTTCGCCGTAGCTTGCAACACGCAAGACGATATCGGTCTCCGTAGCTATTGAAGTTGATTCCGCGAACGTGAAGGCGCCTCCTCCACCTCATCGTACACCCGACTTTCCGAAAGCACCCGGAGTAAGCACACTGCGCAAGGGTGGGCAAAGCTTCGCTGCACTCGAACCTACCACTTTCATGTTTGAAGATTACGTGGAGAGTTTTTCTCCCGGCATCACTTTTAAACCAAACTCTCGCCCCCAGAAAGGAAAGATATCTATCCTTGATTTTCTGACGCAGATTTCGCCTTCGACTCCGCGCCCCGGCTGGCCAACGGCGGTGCGGCGGCCAGTCGATAGAGACCCATCGTAACGGTCGAAATTTCGCGTCAAATTACTCGATACGTTCGTACGACATGCAAAACTTTGGCATTCGTTGCGGATATGACGGTTGTCGCTGACGTTCGAAGGAACGTTCGCATCGTGCTTCGGCTGAGTTTCGAACCTGAACTCAGACACTACCATCAATGCTCACGAGCAGTTTTTAGCCGCAACCGCAACCGTTCGAAGCCCCTAATCCGACCGGCAGACGATAGCTAACATGTGGAGAGACAATATAGCAGCGATGATCAAGGTTGCCGAACTTCTAGTCGAATTTACTCCACGCGGCGTGCGTGGCTGATTATCGTTGACTTCCATTCGCTGTTGAGCAGTTAGAGGAAAACGATCAGGCGTCGATGTCCATCCCACTTACCGATCCAAACTCGTTCCAAGCAGGAAGCTGATACTGTTTTTCGTGGAGAGTATCCAAATTCACGCGGGAGTCAGCGTGGGAGCGTTTCGCTTCATGTTTTCAACGCGATGCTCGAAGACTGGAGCGTCGCCCAATTTGAGTCTTAAGTGGGACTGAGGAATTTCTCGAAGCGATAGTCCCGCTAAGTTCTTCTTTTTTCCCACTGCTCGCTGAATCTCGAGGATTTGTCGGAGCCCGTTCTATCTCGTGGTAAGGACGCGGCATACATGACGATTCCACATTGAATCTCAATTTCACTCGCTGTTCGGCCGGAGAACTCATACGGCAACCTGGAGCAGGACCTGTGCGGGAGCCGTGTTCACGGGAGGGCACTTGTCTTCATCGTGGGCTCCTTTTGGGTGATTTCCAGGCTCCCTGAAATCATGTGAAAACCGTGGGAATGATCCCCGGGCCACGAGATATATTGGGAGCTCATCGATTTCATTGGAATGGCTCCCACTCAATGAAAATTTGAGGACTCCCTGTATTCATGGATAATGTGCAAATTCATGTTCGCGTCACATCACTAGAGCGCGGATTCTGGATCAAAAGTTCATGCACCGATGCCAGATCGGATCGTTAGTCTCTTCGGGAATTCGCAATCATGTTTGATCCAAAACTTTCCGACGGGTGGGTGTTTCTGACGAATTCATAGCGCTTTTCCATGCCAACACCGAAATACATGGATTCCGAGCGGTAGCATTCGCTGATTCCATTCGTCCAGAAGAATTCTCGTGGAAAGTCCGAAAGTGTATTGCGACGGAGAGAATCAATTTCAATTATGGCGTTATGTCAATCCAGCAGCGTCCTTCATGCAAACTTCAGCGAACATATTATGCGAAGCGAAGAAAAATATCGAGATATTATCGACAGAGGAGCCACTCGCAGGTTCGAAACATCGTGCATGCCGGAGGAGCAACGACGCCGACGACCCTCCGACCAGGCAGGCACCATGCTCCACTTTTCCCGGACCTGAAGAAGGCCTCCGCATCGGTAAAACATTCGGGACATTTTTAATCCGCAATAGCTGGTGTCGACTCTCTCGGAGGTCGGATCCGCGGTCGGGGATCTCCGGCCTCCTCACCAGCCGATTCTCGGTGGGACGGAGCGTGGTGTGCCGATAGGAGTCTGAGGTGGCCTTTACAGATTCATGACCCCAGTGAACGTTCGGTTGAGGCCGAGCCTTTATTCTAGACCCACACTATACATGAGAATTTCAGAGCAAGGCCCTTCACCACCATCCATAGCTTTTGCCGTATCCTAGACCACCGTATCCGTAGCCGCCATACCCGAAGCCTCCATATCCGATAGCTCTGCCGAGACCGTATGCACCGTATCCGAGACCGTGAGCTCTCCCATAGCCGAGACCGAAATATTTTCCATATGGGTAATAGCCATGGAGTCCATAGAGGTGGTATCGGGGATAGTAATGGTAATAGGACTTGTACACAGGATACTTATAGTATTGAGCGATTTTCCCGTAGCCGTGACCTCCGTAGCCAAGGCCGTGGCTTCCGTATCCGATCCCATAACCGAATCCGTAGTAGCTACTTTCTACTTGAAGGGCCGACGCGATCAGACAAAGGACGATGGGAAGGCGGCTCATGGCTGTAAGGAGAAGAGTAGCTCATTGGGATGTTGACCCGGCGCGGCTTGTGCCGGAATCTTCACAGCGACACGAGCCCTCCGAGAGACGAGATTTTCGATTCTTCCGGCAAGACAGCAACTGTAGGAGCTCAATATTCGAGTGCTTCTGATCTTGCCGACGTAACTAAACCTCCTCAATGTTCTCAGTTCCTCCCGAGTTGGATAGTCTCAGGAGAGTCCATGATTCACTCACCTCGGAGCTTGAGAGATGCGAACGACCACGGATTCACCATAGAGTCCGCAACGTTTTATCCCCACAATCGGGAAAGGGTGATAGCTTGGTTTCCGCTATAAGTGCCGAATTGCGGAGGCGTGACCATCCGCTCCTCCCTCGCTCGAGTACAAACTACGTGCTTATTTTTCCGCAACAGAATTGGTTCTGGATGACAAGGATATTCTGTTATCCGGAAAGTGAAGCCCATCCAAGCGTATTTGCGACTTCCGCCTAGGGTTGCGAGACATTGAGTTCAGTTCGAACCCCGTCCCGAGCGACTGGGAGATTATCGAGCTTCGAATATCACGGGAGCTCGCAGATCCGAATCAAGAAGCGTCCTCACGGAGAATTTCTCCCCGTTGAGAAAAACAGGCTCCGCAGCGCCTCCTGACCTTTGACTTTGTTCTCATATTCGGATTCGATCAAAGCAACATTCATCAGCCAGAAGCATAGGATCCGAGACCAAACCAAATAAACCCACAGTTTCATGTCAGCGCTATGATATGTATAAAGGATTCGCGACGGGGTTTTGAGATTCGTGATGTATGCTTATATATGTCCCGATGACCTATCCTTTCAACATCGGGTCCTTCATTTCTTCAATGAATGGGTTCCATCTCCATCATAAGCTGGATCGAATTGACGTAAGGAATGTACGCCCATATTCGTTAAATGAGCTTGAGCTGCAGGGTTTTCTCGGCTGATAGCCGAGTGTCGGGCCCGGATACGCAAACCTCTGCAGGACAGAACGGGAATGTGGTCAATGCTGATCTGCGCGTGGTATACACACCGCTCTGGGCAAGCGACTGTGTCTGAGTCAATGAATAAACCTCCCATTACCCTCGGTGGAGTAGCGTAGGCCAGACTTCCAGAAAAACCTGCGAAGGAGCTTCAATTAGTATCGGTCGTTCTCTTCTCCTCCCAGCCAGAAAACTCCAATATTCCGCTCCGCTCCGTCGATCGGAGAAGAGTTCAGATCCACGCCCAACAGCATGTAGCAATAAAAGCCTCCATGTCGTCCTCGTAAACGCTCTCATAAGTTAGCATTAAATAGTCGTAAAGAGTCAACCGCACCTGGCCCCTCCTTCAACAATCATTCAGTAACTGAGGCACGTGCATAGACTTCACCGCTTTGTTTTTGGCATCGACGTAGGGCGTTTTATGAACGATAACAAAGCCACCACAAACCGTCGCCGATAAGGTAGAATGTTAATTCCGAACTCGTAGGCTGCACGGGTGATCGCCTCTGATTGTACTCGTTGCGTCTCAATTTGACTCCGTGGAACAGCGTAACTGTTTTGCCCGTTAGCTTTTCAAAATGAAGCGGGGGACCGCGCTTCCTATCTAATTCATTAGAGGCACCCACACCGCACGGCTCGAATCCGCGAATCCTGAATTATGACCAAAAGATAGGCCGCATCGAATTTACTCATCGCATCATCTGCCCGCCAGGGTTGGGAACAGGCTGCTCTTCGTAGAGCTCACTCATTCGTGCTAACATGCGAGTTACTTCCGCCGCCGCTCCGTGGTTCCCTTCCTGTATCTTCTGGTCTGAGTAAAGCGAGATTATCCTCAACGCATTCCCGAGGCGAATCTGACGAATTTTCCCCGCTCGAATCGGATGTCCCCTAAATCGTTTGGAAACTTTGATCCAATTAGTCTTCGGCTCGTTTCCACGCTAGCACTGTAGGCTGAATTCTGTGAGTTATCGACAGAATTCATTGAATTGAATGGTCGTCCTCATCGCCTTCCATCTATTTCACACCCCCATCGATGCGGACCAACTTATATCGTTACGCTTTCCGAGTTCCATTCCGAAGTTCCTGTTTTCATTTCACGCTGTGCAGCAAATCTCAGGGTCTCGAATTCAACGACGCTGGATCACGAGCTATTATAGCTTTTCCATGGGTGGAAAAAATCTGTGACTCTTATTCTCATCGAATCGATTCGATAATAGATCCGAGGATCTTACGCAACGTTGCGCGCTTCCATCTTGTCTTCCGGTCGTTGTGGGATCGTATTTGAAGGTAAGGACCATCGTTGGGCTCTGTCATCCAGATGAAATGACGAAGGGATGCAAGAAGCTTCCGCCTGCAGCAGATAGAATCGACCGTTCCGACCTCACACCCTTGCGTATCCTCAGCTCGATGTCGGAAGATGATCCGAATGTTGCCGATTTGGTCAGTCGACAGTCTGTTTCCGAGTATCATCGGAGAAACCCATCTTATTTCGACAGAGTACCCGTGCGATTATTCACAACTCTGATGTTCCTACTGGTGAGCACCATGCTGCTGTTCTACTTCGCTTTCCGCAGAAGTCAAAAATGCAAGGAGCTCCTCGAGTTCAACCGGAGAGTCGACGGCTGTGTCGAATGGTGAGCGAAGAGAGCAGACCTGAATACAGCTGTTCGATCGGAAGCCGGAAACTTCCTCATTGAAAGAACTCGCAAGATCTCGGCCCGCTTCTCGTAGGCCTAGACTCACTCCAAACGTACACCTGGAGGTCTCAACTTGACGAAGAACAAATACGATGCGTTTACTCCGTCATTTGGGTCTCTTATCTCAGAATTTATGAATCGATACGAGCATCGAAGTCGTCTACAGCGACCACTCACATTATCGACTACCTGAGAATTTCGAGAAGATTCTTCTCGCCCCTTACGGACCTCGATGTATCGGGATCACCTTGGGCATCCAGCGTGTAGAGCATGTTACATCTCAATGTCAATTGATGCTTCTCTTGCAGTGCTCGGTCGACGGAATCCAGACACAAGTCAACATATTCTGGGCGAGATCCTCTTGCTTTCACGGTTTTCTTAAGAAAAATATCAGATTCCAGGAGCAGCTTCTGCAGTTCTTCTTTGATTTCGTATGGTAAGAATCCTCCGCGAAGGGGGTCTGTCGATATCGTACCCGTGATCGTCGGGAAACTGACATCCATCACTTGGTAGGTCGACGAATGATCTGACTCAACCTCTGACACCAGGAGACTCCGTTCCAGTTCGATTTCGCCTCGATTTCCCGTTGACATCCCGTTCGCGATGCTCATTCCTTGTATGTGCGAGGAAAGTCAGAGGAACGTTGTTATCGAATGAAATCACCCGAATAACCCTTGAACTCATGAGGGCCATGCCATCGGAGGGGCTTCCGACTACTCTGCTTCCGCGCCCGAATCGGAATCGCTCTGTTCTCGACGCATTCGCCATCTGATTACCTTAAGAGCACATCCTCATCATGTACGTAATCGATCCGGGTATGAGACATTCATTTTTCGCGTGCCTTGGGGTTCGATTTGGCTGTGGCGACAACGAATTGCCCTCGTCGAAGGAAACTCTATCGAGGACCGTCTGCGGAGCTGGATTTATTCCATTCCTCATTATTCCCGATTGGCGTGACGGCCAGTCGCGGTGCTTGGAGCTATCTTTTGAACCATTTCTCTGAAATTCCGAAGCCCGCTTCAAAACGTAGCGAACATCTCACTTTTTCCGAGTCTTCCTCAAACTCTCGAGGCTTCCTCCTCCATTAGGCGGGGAAGATGGAAGTAGTACCACTTTTAACCTCAAACATCATCCGAGTAGTTCCGACAGACCATTTGAGCGGATCGATGCTCGCATTCGAAGTGTCGATTGATGGGGCAAGATTGGAGTGGCAATTTTCGCAGGGCAATCAAAACTTTCTACCGTTGCCAAAGTGGAAAGCTGGCGCTTTGTATGTTATTTTTTCTCGGTCTTCGAAGCTCGCCCTTCGATAGCGTCCAAGCTCGAGCAAAGTCATGAGATCTGACATCGAGGGAAATTTCCTCCGACTTCCCCTGTGACGCTCTTTGAAGTCGGTACTACACTGATTCACCGAACGTCGGAGAGTCTCTCCGTCGACCCGACGAGCCCCAGGAGGTACAGAGGGTATTTGAGGCAATTTTCAAGATTGGAGGATGATCCCAGAGGTGGAAGTTGGTAGCGCCTCGCTGCGAAAACTGTGAGCGAGAGAACGAATGAATAGACGGATTCTTGGGGCCAAAAAAATCCCACGAATGAACATGTTGTCATCAACGTTTCATATGCAGCTGGTCGCGCTCCGACAATTTCACGGCTCCAACTTCGACTGCCATCTTGATCCAAGCAAGCTACGGATCGAAGCTGGGGTGAGCAAGACAAGCTCCGCGCCCTAACATTTTCTCGAAAGCTTCCATAGAAAGCTCAGCGGAGAAGAGCCAAATCGGAAGCGAATCTCACCCGGAGGACACTGATTGTGAGACAGAGATTTTCTGAGCATAGGTCCAAGGGATCTCTGCGAGAGCCCATCAGTCTCGTCAGGGGAGCGAAGTTCCTTCCGGTCAACGGGAGGAATTCGAGTCTCCCTCTGGGCCTCGAGAGGCCAATCATAATAGGGGAAGCGTACCAGTTATGGAACACCCAAGAGATTCTGAACAGTGGAGGATTCGTTTTCTCGAAATCTAGAGTATCTAGAGGGGCCATCTCTTTTCCTGAGTGAAGCTCACACCTCTGCCCATCACGATGGGTAGTAATCTTGAGAGGAAATAATCCATGCCTCCAGCTCTGGACCGAAATCGCGCTTAATCCAAGTCGACCTGTAGCAAAACACCTTGCAACCACATGTTGAACGAGTTCAAACCTGTTATGGAACATCCGAAAACGAGGGGGGAGGGAACTTCGAATAATCGTTTTATTGAGTTTCGGAAATGTAGGCCAAGAACGTAAGTATTTCTTTATAAGCTTCACCGACGTTTCGGCTCATGAGGCGTTGGGATAGCCAGTATGTCCTCCTGGGACAAGATATAAGAAACCGTCGATAAAGACTCGCTCTCGCCTGCATCCTGTAGCGGAATACCGCGAACCTCTCGATCGGCCTTCAGCCACATGTTGTAGAGATCCTTCATACAATCAGGTCCTTCCCAGGCCTTGCCGTCTTGCTCATGAAATGAGACCAACTGTTCGTGCGTCAATCGCTCCTCCAGATCGAGGATGAAATTCATCGAAGAGCTTTCTTGGCGGGGAGCCCCGCGATCCGTGTTGGTTCGAGCCTCCCCCGGGCTGCAGCACTTGTCATAATCGACTGCGCTCGGATCCCAGGGCGACAAACCTGTTTTTCGGAAGCCACTAACCAGCCACAGTGCATTGAAATCCTTGAACGCTTCTTGCAGCAAGATTATGAATTCGTCTTTCCTCATGGCTCGTCCTCCATTCTTCATTCTCCATGCGGTCGCTGTCTTGTACCACGACGTTTTCAATGGCTTGAACACCGCCACATCGAGAGGTTGCAAGATGTGCGTCGCATTTGGCGGGAGGGGCGACCAAGACGATTCCATTCGCTTCGCAAATGTCAGTGACTTCCATCGTCAGATGCGAACGATGGTTATCAAGGAAGAGGAGACGGGCCGCTCGATGCCTTGCCTGGTCAAGAAAGGCGAGAAATGCATCTGCAGATATTCGCTGAAGAGAGACCCAGTCATCCATCCGCGGTCGGATTTCATTAGGCAGAACCCTTCCCGGACATGGTCAGTAAGAGCGGGAGGCAAACGTTTGCGCCGCAGCACAACAGCGGTCGGTGCTAGAATGCCCATTGCTGACCCCGTCACCAGTACGGTGACACATTCTTTCTCGGACCCTCCTCGAGCATAAACATGGCGCGATCCTCGAACGGCGAAAACCTTCCCCCCTTGAGGGTTCAGTGCCATCGCAGTTTCATCACTGTTGAATACGCGACTTGGATCACTTAGAACAGCCATCAAATTCGTATCGGATAGCCGAGTTCTGGTCTGCTCGAAATACGACTGAATGTCGTTCCTCGAGAGACAGGCTTGAGCATTGGAAACATGTTCGGGTGTTCTCGGAACTAGTTCGCTGTGACGCTCACAGAAGGACCGAACCTATTTCTCAGCAGAAGTGACCTTAGAGGCTCGCTCGTTTCCTTGCTTGTGTGCCACTTTTGCCAGTTTCAGTCCGACTTGTTGAAGGGCATTGCGAGTAACGGGAAATCCCATTCTGGCCATCTTTTTAATCCAGTCAACTATAGCCTCCTCAGTTTCATCCAAGACGGGGCGAGGACCAGGTCGCCGCCGTCGAGGTTCGTCGTTACGATTTTTTCTCAACAATGTGGACGGCGGAATGCAGTACTGCCTCGCCGCTGCCCTCAGGGGAGTGCCCCTTCTGAGGGATGATATGGCCTTCTCTAAATCGGCATCGGTGTATTGAGCTCTCTGTAATCCGAAATGTAGCATATTCTTCATTTGAACAAGACCCTTTTCGGGAAATGCGGGTTTGACGAAAGTTCATACCAGTCAGCTTACCGCAGGCATCTTGCATCCGACCGCGCTCGAAGTCCACGTCGGTTTATACTTATGGGATCAATTCGCGTACTCGATCAGGTGCGACATTTGGGTTCAAAAATGTGTCTTGAAGTGGTATTTGTGACAGTCACACGATATTACGTGTGATGTCGGGTCACACAGCTATTCAGTGACCAGAGGAGCGGAACCTTCGTCGTCTCACTCCTAAACATCATTTTCCGAAGTCATCTCGTCCTCTCATTGGGCATCATAAGGAAGTCCTCAATGAACGTTCTGCGTTCCCGCCAATATCCGGCGGTGTTCAAAAACTGGTCAGTCCTCATAGGACTCGGGACCAATCAGAGTACACCACCTCTTCTCTTTCCCAAACGGCATTTCGGACATTTCTCATGGGGCACCTGGAGCTACTTGACCATGGTTCTGCGACCCAATGCAATAACTCTGATATCCTAATCGATCGACTACTGTCGAGACAGTTGCGATCTCGATCACTCTTAGCGAAATCTTAATTTTTTCGGAGATCTGGCATCGAAAATATTCAGATTCTCCGTAACGGAAGGAGGGTCGCTCCAACGAACTTTCCGGTCAGCGGACCGATAGCCAGGGTTACGGATAGACCACGACATCGCTCGAACTTCACATTCACGGAGAGTAAGCTCAGGATTTACCGAAAAACCGACGAGTGTTGCATAGTGGGTACTCGTCCCGTGACTGGTACGCTTACCCTACAACTAGCTTTCCTCTCATAGATCATTCCTAGAAGGAAAAATTCGCGCTTTCCGTCCGGGAGAATCAAGACATTCACTTTTCGCTTTTCGCTTCCTTGCATCTCATGTTCCCTCCGAGAAAGCATCCCGTGGTGGTATAACTGATGCATTCATATATCCAGAGGGAGAATTCCCTCGTATACTTCAGTTCCGTCGGGGAGCTCGGTATCCGAAAAAAGAGGAACACGAGACAACATGATGGAATCTATCTGTATTGCATGCGTTCCTCTGGGCAGGCTTTCCGCCTTGAAAGATCCATCCGTTGTTGTCGACGGTAGAGCCGGTAGCTCTGTCGTTGTTGGAGGCAGCGTCGTGCATTCCGCTGGCTAGACGACAGTGCTCTATTCCAATGGCATACGAAACCAATCTATTCCATACGGGATCTCTGATATGGTGCCCATTTTGAATGACAGAATTTGTTGCATCTCTGCGCTCCTTCGAAAATCCGTGCTTCGCGTTCCGAAAGAGAGAGGAGTAGGGAAAACTAAGAGACGTCACGACCGACTGAGAGCCGCTGCGCGCCCAGATCGTATGCAAAGCGGATTTGGATGTCGCCTCTTTTTGTCTTTTCACATCAAACAAGTAATCTCTTTTTCCTCTGAACGAGGACAGCTATCAAGTTCGTGAATACACCCAATTTCTTGTTTGGCTTCCCGAGCGCGCATTCGATCCAGCTGAATTCTCGCTCACCCGTTACTATGCCAAGATCCCCGTCAAATCGATATAAATGTACCCGCCTAGAGAGAAGATGAATGCTCGTGAATCCATGATGGCATGGAGTCGATGTTCAGTTTCAACTTCGTGCTCGAGTGCTCCGAGCGTTACTATCCGTTTCCGGATTGGACGGGAATTGAGGTAAACGTGAGATTCCGCTCCCTCCGCCTGTACGCCGAGATCGTAGCTCAGGTTTCGTGCCGCGAGAGAGAGCCCGGAGGCAAGCTCCGCGGGATGCTTCTACATGTGATTCCCGTCTGAAAGTGATGATAGCGCTCCACTTGCTCTCCTCAGCAGCTTCCACAGTTCGCTCCCGTCGATTTCTCTCGAAACGTAGCCTACCTCGCAGATCAGATGTTATACTACTCGGAATTTGGGTGAAGCAATCGATCGGAGGTGTGTTCGAGACCGGCGGTAAACCACGACTGGTTTCGCTGTCATGTTTATTTGGCAGGCTTGATAGACCGTCTGCTTGTAGCGGTCTGATTCAATGAGCAGACCTACCTAACAGTTTCCCCTCATTTGAAATTGGTGTCGATGAATATCACAATTTCCAATTATATTATAACATTATTTACATGCTTCCACAATTACTTTCATCTTCGTCTCCGTAGCGTTTCGGAGGTACTCCTTTGTTTCGTCTCGAAGATTCTCTGACGGTAGTCTTCTGTTGGTTCTTCTGGGGGGCACTCTCGTTTGTTAGTGGTTCCTCTTCCCCCACCGGGGAGTCGTCGTTTGACTCTTCCGAAGGATGTTGTTCCTCTTGGTTTGTTGCTTGCTGGTCTCTGCTTGCATGAGATTCTGATGGTGTTCCTTCGATTTCTGGAACTTCGGGACCTGTGGTTTCTTTCGGGATGTTAATTTCACAGTCGATCAAGCAGTCGAGTTCATGACTTGTGTCTGAGTTTTTGTCGGTGCGTTTTCGAATCTGCTCGTAGTGTCTTCTCCATGTACCGCTTGGGACCGACACTTCGCAGATTCTAGAGCCGCAGTTCTTCTTCACTCGACCCGAGGTCCATTTCTGATGACGAGACCTGTAGTCTCTAACGCTGACTGGTTCGCCGATGGCGAATTTCGATTCTGTCTCGTCGATCGGTTTAGGCAACGATGGTTCGCGTAAGAGGTCAAGTCTCGAGCGCAGTTCTCGACCGAGCATGATGGAAGCGGGGCTTTCTCCTGAGGAGCTTGAAACCATTCGCTGTCTAAACAGAAATCTAGCTAAACTATCGGCCAGATCCTGTTTTTCGAGCGAAAATTTCTTGAGAGCTGTTTTCATGGTGCCCACGTAGCGTTCCACTTGGCCGTTTGATGCGGGGTGAAATGGCGGTGAAGTCATTTTCCGAATTCCGTTTGTGGCGCAGAATCTCTTCATCTGTTCGGATACGAAGGTTGGGTCATTATCCGTTACGATTACGGATGGGATCCCAAAACGAGCAATCGTATCCTTGAGATGTTTGAGAGTCGTACTTGACGTTTTGTCGTTAGTTATGAATGCTTCTAACCACTTGCTGAAAGCGTCCACAATTAGTAAGATGTATTTCCCTTTGATCGGGCCGGCATAATCCAGATGAATTCTCTCGAAGGGAAATTTGCACGGTTTCCTGCTATGTATGACTTCTTTTGGTGGATTTCGAGCACATGCCAAGCAGGCGGGACACGATCGGGATAGCGCCTTTATGTCATGGGATATATTTGGCCACCAGACGAAGCGACGGGCGAGTTCCGTCATTTTGCGTTCTCCGTAGTGTCCTTCATGCAACTCCGTGAGCACCTGCTCTCGGCAGTTTTTCGGTATGACGATACGATGGCCTCTGAGTAATGCTGAGTCCTGATGGAGACTGAACTCGCACGCGTCTAAGCCAAAGAATCTCGGGGCATCCTTGCAACTCCTTGGCTCTCTGAAGAACTTCAAGAGTGGTTTCAATTCTGGATCACTTTTCGTTTCCTGCACTATTTCTTCGAAACGTAACGGGGTTTCGGAGATTAGGTTTACGATGAAACAATCCGAAGCGTCCATCTCCTGTAGTCGTTCACTTCTTGCTGGCAGTCGGGACAATGCGTCTGCATTCCCATGCTTCTCTGATTTTCTGTACACGATGTCGAAGTTGAAGGCCAATAGGTAGATCGAATAATGTTGCATACGGGTTGCTGACAGCGGAGGCAGGTTTCTTGAAGGATGGAATATCTGCACGAGTGGTCTGGAGTCGGTTATCAACTCGAATCGTCGCCCGAACAGGTAATAGAAAAATCTTTCGACGCCCGTCTTGATTCCGAGCGCTTCTTTGTCAATCTGGCTGTATTTTTTCTCGGTGTCTGTTAGAACCCGGGAATAATACGCGATCGGGCGCTCTGATTTATCCGGATAGCGGTGGGACAAGACAGCTGAAATTCCGAACGGTGAAGCATCGGTGGCGAGTAACAGTGGTCGCTTCGGATCGAAGGGTACCAACACCCTCGGCGAGCAAAGTTCTTCCTTTACGGCTTGGAATGATTTCTCCATACTCGAATCCCACAGGAATTTAGCGTTTGATTTCAGCAACGAGTACAAAGGGTGTGCCAAATCAGCTAAACGTGCTGCGAATCCTGAGTAGAATTGAATGATGCCGAGGAATGATCGCAAGTCGGATGCGTTCTTGGGTGACGGCGCTTCGCGGATCGCTTTGACTTTATCGTCGCATTTATGTATTTCTTGATTTTTGATGAGGAACCCGCAGTATGTCACCGATTCTTCGAAGAAGACACATTTTTCTGAATTCAGGCGAATGTCGTGCTCGTTGAGACGAGAGAACACTGTGTCAAGCCTCCGTAGATGCTCCTCGTTCGTGGCTCCAGTAACCAGAATGTCGTCCATTACGCACTCGCAACCTGGAATGTCTGCGAGAACACCCTCGATGAACCTCTGCCAGATCGCTGGGGCATTGGACAGGCCGTTCGCCATTCTGTTGAACTGGTATAAGCCTCTGTGAGTGTTCACAATCAAGTACTTCCGATCCTTTTCACGAACAGGCAGGTGGAGGAACGCAGAGAATACGTCAAGCTTGGAGAAAGTTTTCCCATTCCCAATGTTATCGAGCGCATGTCTGATGTTCTTGAGAGGATGGGAGTCTATCTTTATGTGACGATTTATTCCTGCTTTGAAGTTCCCACAGATCCTGACCTTCTTGCCTTTCGCTCTGGGAACGACACACATCGGATGGCTCCATTCGCTTGTGTTCACTTTGGTGATTACTCCGTATTCTTCTAGGAAGTCGAGCTCCTTGTTGGTTTTTTCGATCAAGGCTTCAGCCGGTTGATGAGCGCCTGAGGTATATGGCGCTGGATCCTCCGATGTCAGTTCCAGTCTCGCCTCGCTATTCGGGATACATCCTATGCCCGGTTTCGTGAGATTCTCGTACTTCCCGAGTAATTTCCGGGCTTTGCTTTTGAAGTCCTCTGTATCTGAGGCTCCGTAGCTGCTATTTTGATTTGAAGCGTTCAGATGATGTACCTTATTTTCGCCTGTCAGCAGTTTAGACCAATGCAATGGGAGTTCACGGAGCCAGTCGCGACCTATCAACTCAGGGAATTTGTCATTCTCCATGAGATATAGTCGTAGTGATTTTTCCTGGTCTCCGTAGACGACGCTGACGTTGGCAAAGGAATGCGGTTGGAATATTTCTCCAGTCGCGCTTCGTAGTTGAATATTATTCTCGTGAAGTTCATGTTGGGGAGCGATTCTTCTGAATGTCTTAAGGGGCATCGTGGAAATCCCACTCCCTGTGTCGATCTCCATTTGAAGTGCGTGTTGCTCAATATCCACTTCAACTCGAATTGGGTCCTTCGAGTTGACATAGCGAAATGGGACCTCCTCGAGATAGTTTTGATTCGAGAGAGTGGTCCGTCGGCACGCTTTTTTCAGGTGACCGACTAGTCCGCACCCAGCGCACTTCACACCTTGGTATCGGCAAGTTTTCGCCGAATGACCTTTGTCTCCGCATCTGTAGCACCCCGGTTGATTTGAGCTTGCAGGGTATTCAGAGTTCTTTCTCAGGGGTTTTTGATACGTTTTCTTCCGGAATCCACGAGTCGAGATTTTATTCACGTCTTGTTGCGCAGATCCATTGTCGTGGATTGCGCTCGTTGCTTTCCTGATCGACAGGAACGTGTTAGCTAGCAGGGAAACTTCTGCCAACTTGGTGAAATCTCCTTCTTTCATGAGAATTTTCTGCATGATTTGCTTGTCTTCAAGACCTTCAGTGAATTGTTCTATCAATCTCTCCTGGAGTTGGTCCGCTGAGAAATGACAATCGACTGCGGCGTGACGAAGCCGATTTTCGAAAGTGCTTAGGGATTCACCTGCCGACTGACGGACCTTCCTGAATGCGCTGCGAGAAGACCATTTGTTTTTCAATGGTTCGTAGACCTTTCGGAGAACTTCAACGATTTCCACGAAACTGAGATCTTTTGGCTTCCTCTCGGGTTGCACTCTGTCCATGAGTTTCCGGTAGGCATCAGCTCCCATCCACGATATGACTGCGTTCTTTCTCTTTTCCTCGTTTGACACGTCGTGTAGGCTGAGATGATTTTCCAGTCTTTCAGCCCATGAGGAAAATTGCTCCGTTGACACATCGAATCCGTCGAATGTAGGCACGTTGTTGGTCGAAGCCATCGCTTGACTTTAGATTTCACGTGAAAATCGAGGCGGGTCACTACCAGGTCTGCCGAGACACGATGTACTTTCCTTCGAGTGGGTTTGAGATCTTATCTTCGTCGCCAGTTGTTATACTACTCGGAATTTGGATGAAGCACTCGATCGGAGGTGTGTTCGAGACCGGCGGTAAACCACGACTGGTTTCGCTGTCATGTTTATTTGGCAGGCTTGATAGACCGTCTGCTTGTAGCGGTCTGATTC